ACCCCAACGTTCCCCTTCGTCGTTCTAACCGACTTATCTCTCTATCACCCTCGAATCCCTCTAATCTCGAATACATACCTCGTGCAAATCTGGCCTCAATCGTGAAAGGCTTTGATGAAGTATCTTCTGAATACAACACCGCACTTTCCGCCATAGGAATTCCCCCAGTACCAAAAAGCTACGCCAAGGCCATGGAAGACCCAGACCGATGGTTACCCGCCATTGAAAAGGAGATCCAACGAATGAAGGAATTCGGGGTCTTTGGATTGTTACAGGATCCTCCTGCCGGCGCCACTATTCTGGTTCCACTCTGGGTTTTGGCTCACAAAGTCGATGGAAATGGCAATATCGTGGAGGAAAAGGCTCGTCTAGTTGTAAATGGGAGATCTCAGGAAGAAGGTTGAGACTATTACCACACCTTTGCCGCTGTACTCCGTTTCGAATCCCTCCGAATACTCATTGCTCTCTGGGTTACACTCGGTTACCATATTTGGCAAATCGACTTTGCATCCGCATACCTCAATGCCGACCTTGACGAAGAAATTTATGCCTGGCCTCCCAAAGGTTTCCCTGGCAGGGGTACAGGAAAGGTAATGCGGATCAAGAAGTCTATATACGGGATGATGCAGGCAGGTAGGAACTGGTGGAGGACTTTAGATGGGACATATAAGGAACTAGGATACTCCCGTTCTCAAGCAGACCAGTGCGTTAGAACTCGGATATCCGAGTCAGGGGAGACGATGACAGGAACATACACTGATGATACACTGGGGGGCTCTTCGTCTATCCAGGAAATGGTCAGGGCGAAAAGGGAAATTGGCTCGAGATACAGGATAAAGGAGACTGATAGCATGCAATTTGCTCTTGGGATGAAGCTCACCCACGACCGAGAGAAAGGATGTGCGACATTATCCATGCCTGCCTATTGGGAAAATCTCCTTGACCATCATGGACTCAGGGATGTTAAACCAAAATCGACTCCCCTTCCAACTGGTGCTTCACTATCGCTTGGGTCATCTCCTCCCTCTACCGACGACGTCGAATTCATGCGCGGAAAACCCTATAGAGAAATTCTGGGAGCTGTCCAATTTGGTGCTGCTGCTTGTCGCCCTGATATCGCACACGCAGCAAACGTCCTTAGTAGATTTGCTCATGACCCTAGGAGAATTCATTGGCAATCCCTCATGCACCTCGTCCGATATATTAGTGGTACTCGGGAATTGGGAATTACATACACCCGTGACGCCCCTGGAGGTTTATTTCCAGTTGTGTATGCAGATGCAGATTATGCTTCGTGCGTGGATTCGCGTAGGTCTACATCGGGAGTCCTCACTATGATGGCTGGAGGACCGACTTTCTGGACATCGAAGAGGCAGGATGTCGTGGCTTTATCAACAACCGAAGCTGAATACATCGCGCTTTCGAAAGCGGTCCAGCAGGCAAAATGGGTTCATTCATTCCTCTCAGAAATCGGACATGGTACCTCTCGTCCTTTCCTTATCAGGTGCGACAACCAAGGAGCCATTGCTATATCTGAGAATCCGAAATTCCATTCGCGGGTCAAGCACATCGACATTCGGTATCATTTCCTCCGAGATGCAGTAGAGGGAGGTGATGTTGCAATTGAGTATATTCCCTCTGAAGATAATCCTGCCGATATCCTCACCAAAACCCTTGGTACGACCCTTCATCGTCGTCAGGTATCCCTGCTTGGTCTCCGAGAATCGTCCACATCCGGATCTAGGGGAGTGTTGAGCGAGTGAGGGGAGGGTCCTCGGCCCAGGGCTGAAGATATGAGATCCGGCTGAGGACAGCCTTCCGAAAGTGTTCCGATTCGTTCATCTTCCTTTCTCCTGTTTCTATCCTTCGCTACCGACGGATATTTTATCCCTACGGTTCGTTATCATCATTGAAGGCTATATATTTCCAATACTACTTATCAGTTGAACTACCTTATATACTACGTTTCGATATCGAAGCACCCTCAGCTTTTACCATTAGCTGAGGGTGAGTACAGTTTCAGTCCGTATTATTTATTCACTTATTCTAACTATATTCTTAGTTTAACACTGTTTGATAGGTAATTCAATATACACGAGCTTTTACCATTAGCTGAGGTTTAACACTGTTTGATAGAATGTATAGCAAGAAAGAACAATAAGGATGAGATTACAATAAGTAGTAGATCTCAGAGTATCGAGCAGCGGAACGGCAGAGCAGGGCACCAAAGCATGGACTTGACAAAAATAATCATCACATTCACCCATGGCTTCACCTTTCTTCTTTGTCAAAAAGGAAAATGGGACACTACAGCCTGTGCAGAATTATCAATTCTTGATAGTCTTACATTATCACCTGACTGTCATGAAGCGATGAAGGCAGAGTGACTAAGCAGAACAGGGAAGCGGAGCGACTAAGCAGAATGATGGAGCAGAGCGATGAAGCGGAGTACAGGCAACCTGGTCCCAGATAATGACAGAGATATATTGAGTATCATAGTCATAGGTAATAATAAGTAAGTACATACCTGGTCCCACATAATGACAGAGAGGTCAAGATGAGGGACCAGACTGTGAGGGAATGGCTTTATATACATAATCCGATCTGTAAGAAATAACGATGTAATACTGTACAGTTTAGGAACAAGGAAGGTGGTGGAAACCAGTAGAAGGAGAAGGGTAACAGGTGGATCAGTAATCAATGGGATTTGACACTGATGTAATCATACAAGTAAGGGCGTCAAGACGGTGAAAAAAAAAAAATGATAAGGGCTACGTACTTCATAACATTACCCCCCCTTCTTACGACCATTGCCCTCGATGGTCAAACCTTTGCTGCTGTGGGGTGTTTCTTGTGGAAGGCCCGAACAATCTTCAGAGCACGGTTGAGGTTGGGCGCTGGCTCCCAGGAGTTATGCCCTGCGTCATAGCCCTTCCACTTAACCAGGTATTCCAACCTCTTCCACCGGACCTGGCTATCCAGGATTTCCTGTACTTCATATTCCGGTTCGTCTACCCACATAAAGTCGAATGTGTTTTTCTACGTCATGGTTTGCGCGTTCGGTTTGACCATTAGACTGAGGACGGTACCCGGATGTAAGATCTGATTTTATTCCCACCCGGATCGTCAGGGTCGACAGGAGGGTCTTGATTGTCGTGATCACCAGCATCCAGATTGAAGTGAGGAGGCGGGTCATGAGGAGATTCTGAAGTAGCACAACATTGAGGTTGTTTTCCAGTACAACGAGCTATGGCTTGAAGGATTGGAGATTCAATCCAAGTAATAGACTGACCCCGAACCGGGGTGACCACGGGGGGTTGTCCATGGCGAGGAGTCAAGACTTGGACAGGCTGTCCATCACCAGTATACAAAGTACTGTACTCAAATTGTTGATATTCTTCCACGGCTTCAGGAAGAGTCGACGTAGTAGGAACTGTGGCTGGACCGAAACCGCAATTACGGCAACGTGGTTGACCGATGGCAGAGATAGATTCGGAAAACAGGGCAAATGATTGGGCTGTGGTGAAGAAAATATTTTCTTTGGAGTTAGCTTTAGATTGAGCTTGGGTTTTCAGAGACATAAAAAATGATAGGTCAGTACGACATTAATGGATTGAGTTTAATTATACTGTTAAGATCATGTACACCATGTAACCGTGCCAGAGGCCACAAGGTGTCTAAGAGTGGAAGGTCAAGTGGGACAGTAGTGAAGTTATTAACAACACCACCGTTACGCCGTTAGTCCCCGGAGATCGAGAGTATAGAAGGGAGGAGCTAGTAGCAGTCAAGTCGGAGCGGCGGTATCGCCGGTGACGAGGAGCAAACCAAAGAACTTATAAGTCCTAAGGTAGAGTAGAACGTACTTCAAGGCGTTGAGCCTGAAGACTTAGAGAAGGGCTAAATTGGAAAGGGAGATCTAAGTTTATAATTAAACTGAGGAACTACAGTAGCGTACAGGCAGTATTTATATCTACAGAGCAGCGCATTGGTGCAGAGCGCCAGACTAACTACTAGGAGCTATACGTGTAGTACCTGCAGGGTAAAGTAAAAGACAATAAGGAGGGGCTAGAATGAAAGGGTATGTGTAGCGAGAAAGAACAATAAGGAGAGATTACAATAAAAGATGGAACTTCGGAATACCGAGTGACGGAATAGAGGCCCGAGGCATGGACTTGACAGGGAGCTGAAACGCTCTGAGAGCATCTGCAAATGGACTTACAAGGACATTACTTATCTACCTAAGGCTGAGCATGAGGAATGGCTTAAGACCTGGCAAGAAAAGCTTGAAGTGCTCAAACAGTGAAGTACTTTTGAATTCATGGATCATCCAGCAAACTGAAAGGTTATTAAGAGCTGCTGGGTCTTTAACATTAAATCTGATAGTCACAAGAAGGCACATGTTTGTAAACACTATGCTTACTTACACATACATACATATAGTCACACATGTGACAAGATCACATTATATATAGACTCATCCTTCACAGGACACTACTTACCTCTGACTTCCATCGCTCATACTGAGTACTCTCTCATTAGATATCCACTCACACTTCTCTCTCTCTTTCTCTCAATCATACTTGATTCATAGTACCTTTGAGTCCTTGTGAGTCCTCCTCTCAGTGTCACCTGCGAAGCATTGCAGGTCTCCATTTTTTTTACTACATCTCAAAACCTGATTGGTGTGGAATATATAACAATAGACGCATATTTTCACAGTTGAATTCATTTGCGTTTCCTCATACCTTGCTTAGTTGTGAATTTTGTCTCCTCGGATATCAAAAATTTGTCCTCGCATTTTGTACTTTATGTTTCATTCTTGCATTTCATACTTCGTCTTTTGCATTGTCTTTGATTCGTCTTTCTTGTATCTCGCCTAGAGCCGGTTCCCGTATTTTGTCTTTTGCACCTTGAAATTTGTCTCTAGTGGCTTTTCATATTTCTTGCCCTTGTCATAATGTTTGTTTAAACATCATTCTTGGTTGTCAATGGTGACTAATATGTTGTCTACAAGGATCGTGCCTGGTACAAATCTGGCTGATAACAAGTCTCGGCAAGAAGGTTTACAGAGTAACAGCAAACAAACTCCAGACTCATTACGCCCATCTCAACAATCTGTTTCTGACAGATCTTCCATCGTACAGCCAATAGTGCTGGTCAAACTTGAAGCCCTAGAAACTACTCCGGAATTTGATACAATCTCTGAATTCCCACGTTTATCATCTCCTTCCTCTGACAAAGACATTACAACTACTTGCCTGAATGAATCTGGCAATATTAAGCTCTGTTCTGGCAAATATGGCCCTCAGATCACATCGGGAGTTGTACTGTCCCCCGAGGATCTAGATGATCTTTACGAAGAAGCGCGACACCACGCCAAGACCAGATTGACCAACGCTATTGAAAATGTCAGGGAAATCATTGCAGATGCATTTCATTCTCTTGTACACTGTGATTGGTTCCATGCAGAAAAGCTCCTACATCTTGGTCTGTCTCTAGAAGCCAAGGATGACTTGGATGAGATGGCGCCTTCCACTCTTCCTTTCCTCAATGCTCTCAAATGCAAATTCTGCGGCCATGATTGGGCTCAAATCCATGCCGGTCGACGTGATGAAGTTTGCATGTCAGTTGATGGTGTTGGCTATTTTGACGAGTACCTTTCCCAAGTGGAGGGTTGTAACAATTGTCTGAAAGGTGTTGGGAATTGCTTTATGCCTGCACAACTCCTCACGATCCTCGCCCGTGGAATCACGCCTACACTTACTGCTATTCTTTCCGAACAAGGTGTTGTCATTAATGAATCGATTTCCTACAAAGATTGGATTACTTTCTGCCATGATTTGGAAGTTTGCTTTAAATCTCATCTCATGTCTGCTGATTGCAATGGCTGCCATGGCAACTTTGGATCTTTTGCTCAAAGTAACATTCCTTCCAACAATAATGTTCCTCCTCATAAACGCACGGCGACAAGTGAAACAGCTACTCATTCCAACAAATGTACTAGCTCTGATAATCCTTCGACATCTGGCCCTTTTTACATGCATGCATTTAGCAAAATGCCAGACGCTATGTAGAAGGAGCAATGTGAGCTCTTGGGACACATCAATGCCTGTGTTAAATGTCACACTGCATGGGGCTCATGTGCATCTAACTTGGATAAAAGCACTGGTACCATTGCTGTTGCTTTGATCCATGGTGCTTCACTAAAAGATATCAGTCAATATATGGATGCTGGTCCTGTCCCGGTGGTTCTGGTGGACCCCATACCCCAATCTCTCCTTACATTCCCAATGAGCAATGTGCTATGTTGGAACTCCTCTCTGGTTTCAAGGGTTCCAACGCGACCACTTTTTCTTCTATTGAATGATCTATTGTAATATCATTAACTACTGAATTTCCACTATCCGATTCAGCTGCGCCGGCTGAACCTATATCTGCTCTTCTCAAATTTCCTACTCTTGTTGATTCTGGTTCTACTGACTCTTTTATCAATACTCATTATGTTTCTCAAAATTCTATTCCAAGTACCAAGATCTCTGCTGTTAATCTTTGTCTTTTTGATGGTTCATTATTTTCTAAACCCATTACCAATATGGTGAATATTGCCATTCGGTTCCCTTCTGGTGAGCTGCTTCTATTGCCCTTTTATGTTACTCATTTAGATTCATCTTGTAAAACAGTATTAGGTTACAGTTTCTTATCCCGCTACAATCAGTTGATTGA